GGGGGGGGGGCTAGGTCTTTCTCAGTCTATATCTCAAGCTCTCTTATTTCTCTGAGTGGCGTAAACACCTGCTCCCCTGACACTTTGTGCCATTGCGTCGACTCAGCCGTGTTTCCACTGAGACTACTTATGATAATGACGCACCAGGTGTGTATGTGAGGATCCTCCAGGTCATGATCATCATAACTCAAACCCCAATAACCCATAGCATTACTGTAATTTATGTTTTTTTATTCTCTAAAAATCTACCCTCATGCAACTGAAATCAATATTCATTACAATGTAGAGGCTTAAATAAATGCACATTTACACGGGCGTAACAGGGACACTGAGGTTGACATTTTATGGTGATCAGATGGCGTTTCTCCTCTTCTGTTCTTTAATTGAATTTGAATATAAATTATTTTATTATTTTAGGGCGCACATGTGCCTCTAGATTACATCCAGTCATTCAGAGGCAATAATTGCACTCAATTTCTTACTGTAAATGAACTGCAGATTCGCCTAAAGACCCAAAGGCCTGCCGTCACTCTGTAGATCCCCAGAGGCTGCAGTGTTCATTACATCCAATAATATCAAGCACCTCAATGGATCAAACATATAGATCATATTGCTTGGCATTCTTACCAGCACTGAGGCTAAAGAAATGTCAGTTTGTCCTTAAATGCTGCGAGAGGAAAGGCTGTCGTTAAGAACAAAAGCGTTTATTCCTCCGGGAGCATGTACATGCTCACCCAATTTCATGGCTTCTAACATCAAAAGACATCATGTGTGCTAAGTTGACACTTTAACCTGAAGGTAATGCATGAGCTCCATGACCTTTTTGAGTATCTAAAATTGTGCAAGAGGTTTATCCTGACAGTGTAGTGAAAATATTTCAACCAGTTTCCAAAACAAGTTGTTTAAAGTTGTTTCTCAAGACTGAATGAGGCAGATCACCGGACTAGAATCAAGAAAATGTCCTTTGATTCTATAAAATAACTTTACGGTTCCATAAGTTTAGTATGATATGCTTTTAATTTCCAATACATTTCCTGGAAAGAGCTATATCATTTGATAAAGGTTATCGGGAAATAGTGAAAACACACAGTCAGTCAGTCGGGGCACAGCAGGTTGGCTGAACATGCATAAATGTGACATTTTTCTACAGACAGGCATACAATTCAATGGCTTTTACAATAATAAATAATTGAATTTATATTGTGTTTTCCCCTATAATTAGTAATCAACCACATTGTTCTTTCCAGGAAATTACGAACCCGTAGAATAAAGCATTTATCAAAGGTTGTATGAAATTATCTTTATCACAACACGTGAAGAGGTTCAGTTTACTGACAGTGTTCACAGCATAAACTGTATAAAAGAAGTGGATGTAACTTCTGGGGCTGAAAAGTAAAGCCAATGTGGAAGTGCCTTAAACCTGCAGGGTTACACTACACAGGTTGCAAAAAGAAGTCTGACTGTATCGATGTCTATGAGAAAAAGAACCTACTTTTCACTTGATTTATTAACTCACTTGTTAGTTTCCTAATGAGTTTATGGTCTTAATCACTAGTAACAAGCCTTCTTCCATATAGCATGTTAATTTTGTAAATGATGCTCCCATTTAGAGTAAAATAGACAATAATACACAAAAGTCAGATCCATCCCTTACTCCTGCCCACCTTGTCTAAATATGGCAAAAAAATGCTTGAGGATTCAAAACATTCCACAAACAAATGGGTGACATCGTAGTAGCTACGTCCACTTCTTTTATACAGTCTATGCTTCAAAGTCCTTATTCCTGCACTCATACTGGATTGTTGGAGCACCTGCAACTGCTAGACTGTGAAGGTCCACTCCAGATGAAGCTCTGTGTCATCTAACGCAAAGGAATTTCCTTCAGATTTTTTTCTCTTAAAGTTAATTCCGAACAAGTCAGACTGAAGGATAATAATCCAGTTTAAACATGTCTCATTGCTCAATTCAAGTTAAATTCACTAACAAAGACCATAGACCATAGTGCAGTAGTTTAATGATTGGGGGTCAAGTGGTGGGATGAAGGGGCTCAAGGGGAAGTAAAGTTTAAAAATAATTTCTTTGACAGGGAGGGAATGAAAAACAAGCCAGTCAAGATTACAATTTGACAAAGCCATTTTACAGTCAGTGTAGTGGGAAAGTCTTGTGTCTTCTTAATCTGACAGTTTGGGACTAAGTTTTACTTCTTTATTCTTGATGTTATTTCAATAAAATAACATAAATGTGACTATTTGTTTTTCTGCTGCTCAACAGTATGAGAACCACTGATCTGGCCAGTAGTTCTTGAGATATCGTGCTCCAAACCGAACTGATGGATGGACAGACTGAACGACAGACAACAAACACACACGACCTTCCTTAAACTCCTGCTGCTAGTGGAGCAAAAATAGGAAAATACATGACCTCTGTGCTCAAGTTACACCCTTGAATATTTTAATCTGGATACCCCCCACCCATGTTTGTATGTATAAACTGTACTTGCTGTGTGTATGCTGTGCAGCTATATGCATATATTCCTGGATGGATACATACATGAGCTTTGGGGATTATACCACTTGCTACATGTCATGCATGAGTAGGATGAGTGCATGTCCATGCAAGCACAAACAGATGCTTTCTTTCTTTGTGTCTACGTGCATTTGTGAGGAGTGCATAATGGAACATGCGTAATTAGATCGAAGAGGAGGGGAGGCAGGGAGGTTCAAAAATGAAGGAGCGCAGCCATGAGTGACAGGCAGAAGGAGGGTTCAGCTGCACTGCTCGCACTACTAGTCGGGGAAGAGAGGAAGGAAAAGATGAATGCGATGCAGTGTTTGCATGTTTATCAGGAGGTCTCAGAAGGAAGAGGATGCTTGCATGAGTGATGGCTACCCCATTGTTTAACTACTCAGACGTGGTCGGACTGCTGTGTATTTTCTACACTTCAACTTTTACTTTCTAAAGTCTTTGCTACTTTGCATGTACGTGACTGAGGAGGCAAAACACGCAGGGCAAAAAAATATGTTGATGACTGAAACTGCCTCCACTCCAGTTCCCTAACAAATAGCGAGCCTCTTCCTGCTTCTTTCCTTTGTCTTAATGGATATGAGGGGCTTTGTGCATTTCTGTGGGTGGACGAACAGATGTGATGGGCACTCGCAGTGTTTAGCAGTGGCTAATGATGATGGATAAAGATGTTGATTACAGACAGGGGTGGCTGCATGTCTTGACTAACATCCCTCTTCCTCCACCAATGCCTTTCACTTTTGTCCTCCCACCAGTATGTCAAAGTGGCATGATAATCATCCTCCCCTCTTTGTCACTCCCTGTCGTTTACACACTGGCTGCCTCTACTGTTAATTTGATGCCATTTCAAGGTTCAGAGGTCATGTGTTAGGAGGGAACCAATCCTGCCATATGGTGGGAAATGAGTTCCAGCTATTTGACTGCAGAGATGTAACCTATAAAGCTTCATACTGGCTGGATGAAAAGTGGTGTCACCACAAGGTTATACTCACAAGCCAATCTCTAAACGTTTCTCTCAATAGAGACTGTGGAAATAATTAGAGAGAGTTTTAAAAAACCTGCACCAATATAAAGTCTTCAGGGCAGTGACATGCAGAGGTTGTATGATTGTAAACAGGACATCCATTTTCATTGTTTAAAAAAGCTCTCTGTGTTACAAAGTGATTCGCTATATCTCTATAGGTAAGGAATATCCTTTATGGGGTGTTCCTGACTCACTTCTTCTTAATTACAGTCTTAATAATATAAAATTAATTAGGTATAAGGGAGCTTTAGAGATGCTGGTTGGTGAATTTGGAACAGAACTAAGCTGTTTCCTGTTATCAGAATCAGAATCAGACATACTTTAATAATCCCAGGGGGAAATTACTTTCGTTACATACTCCATATGTAATAGACATACATATATTAAGAATATATATATATATATATTCCTAATATATGTATGTATGTTGAACTATAACCATAAAATTGTAGCGTTAAGACTTAACTTTAAGACTTAAAATTAGGGTTTATGCCAAGTTCACAATGCAGAATATCAGCCCAATAATAGCCATATAATTTTTACCTATGTGGTTTATTACAGTGGACAACTACGTTGTTTCTGGGATGTCTCACAACGTACCAAATGTTGACCAATAGGAGCACACCTGTACACAGTGTCCATGTACAATTGCAAAGTAATATACAAAGGATGTTGTTGGTGCTGCAAAAGATCACAGTCTTTTTCTTTTTTACACTTTTTTCGAACACAGGAAGTATGTCCCTACCAGCACCTCTTTCATTGACAACAGGCACATTGTAAAAGAGGCAAGCTGGTCAGGGAACAAATGTGTGTGTAAGTGTGAATCTGTTTGTGTGTGTTAAGGTTGCCCTGGTGACAGCTCAATACCGTGAGATTGCTAATGAATGCATAATGTGGCCAAGACGGAAGTTAAAGCCCTTTAAACATGTCAACCAATTAGAGAGGATCAAAGCAAGTGATA